AAAGTGTGAAGTACCCACTTAATTGCCCATTCATTTTCGACAATGAATGAGCATCGACAAAGAAGGAAGTTGTTGGACGTGTTAACCCCGATAGCCGCCATCATGCCAACAAGCATAGTGTTTTGATTGATAAGGCATTACATGGGCAAGTTGGAAGATACAGCCGCTAAAAGGGAAATGATCTTCCAAAATGAAAAGCCAACAGCAAACAGCTCGTCCAAGTCATCAATTGAACTAGTGGGCGTAACGTTTTCAGAAGCGGTTGCCTTCCTAACCCTCCAACACGACGCATCAAGGTGGCTCGGAGCCCTCGTGGTCCTTTCCGGACACACGCCATCCTACGGGTCCTTCCCGGAGACAAACCGCTTCCCGCAGCATGGCCTCCGCTCCCCGGCGGCATCACGTGTTCTCAACCAAGGAAAGGGTGTTAAAGGGTCGCGATAAGCGGTGTCCCGCTGGGGCAAGGCCCACCGACGGCTCAGGCATTCCCAGCCCAAGGGCCGAGGGCTCCCTTGCCCCAGCTGTCGTGGTTCGGGAGCGGTTGCCCTACTAACCCTCCAACACGACGCATCGAGGTGGTTCGGGGCCCCCGTGGCCTTTCCCAGGCACACGTCGTTCTACGGGTCCTTCCCGGGGATCATGCGGTTTCCCGCACGCATGACCTCCGCACCCCGGGGCCCTTACAGGGTTCCTAACCCAGGAACGGGGGGTTACAGGGCCATGCCCCGCGGTAACAACCCCTTGATGCACGCAGCACATGATGACCTATTGCGCCTTAAATCGGGCCCCAGCCCTGGCGCTCCCCCAAGCTTACCCGTGCTGCTATACTTGTACACAACACTACACATCTTGGACTCATAGTTTATTGGCGATAACGTCCTTTACGCACTACAACTTAACTTCCTGCCGAGCGTGGAGAAGCCCGGCCAACGCTTGTAGTGTCTGCAGCCAATAGCGGTAACTGCGGTAACATCGGCCTGCAGCCGATAGTGTCCCTCGGGTGTAGCGGGACACTAACTTACCAGCGCTCCGAGCGAACGGGACAGCATGCCCGAACATGCTGACGGGTGCTAGCAGGCACCCCTAGCCGTTCGCCTTCCTCGCGTTGCCCGACGACCGTCTCTCCCGGAGGAGACGAAGAGCGCCGACTGGCAGAGGCGACCCTTTATATAGGCCTCGGCTGGAGGCGGAGCACGCGCCGCTCGTCGGTGCATGCGCCGCCGGCGCGACCAACGGCGCGACAAGGGCCGGTGTTCCCTTTATTGTAGGATGTTGGCTGTGTCGCGAACCGCGATACCAGCCAACATCCTACAATAAAGGGAACAAGAGAACGATTGCGCCTCTTAAGTTTTGGGGCTCTGCCTTGGCGCCCCAATACTAAAGCCCAACACAATAAGCACACTCTAAATACACTCACATTTATTGGCGTTTATTGGCGGTAATAACTCGACATCCGACACCCCACTTCGTCACCTTGTGCCAGGCTTGGAGATGCCAAGCCATGGCTTCATCCATCCTGTAGGCCGTCGCGGTAAGTAGGCGCACTACTAGCCGTCGATGTAACAGCGTTTTTTAACTGCACGCCCGACCATGTGCCCAAGCGCCCCCAACGTCCATGTGTGACCATGTTGAGCCGGGGGGGGGCGTTTGGCACGTTCGGGCACGGGCTAGAGCGGGGCGAGGTTCCTGCGCTCTACTGCTAGCCGTCGTAGCTTAGGCGTCCTTGATTTCCGAATCGTGCACACCAAGAGACGACGCGAGTGCGTAGGTAAAGGGAAGTGAAGAGCCGAATCGTGAATAAGTGAAGAATACTCCTCTTGGTCCCGATGGCTGCGAGGGCCAATATTTGGCTGAGTCTTCAACGTGTGCGCGATAAAACCCCGCGCGTATTTTGACGACCCGGTCTTCAAATGGCTTTCGAACCTGGGCTGGGCGTAGGCTGTTGTGAAAGAGCCGTGACGGAGAAGGATGCGTAGAAGAGGTCGTACGAATGTCACGACAACAATGGCAGTCTGTGTGTTGGTGGAGAACGTTACATGAATGCTGAGCCTCTTCCTCCAGCCGAGACCTTGTTATGCGCAAAAGTCGGAGTGTGAGACTTTCGTGCTCGCAATCAACAGCTTCGATCAAAAGCATAGGCAAATATGACTCGCTAAGAGCATCGTCTACCAATGTTGTGGATTCCATAATATAAATGAGTTTGTATAACTGGATTATAAGGGGTTGATAACCACATTAAACACATAAGTGAGTGAATACTAGTGGATAAAACTGGGCAGTTTAAAGTCACTGCTCAGAACAGCAGTTTCTGCAACATTCTTGCGTGCTGATTTGAAAACGTGGCGAAGTCAGCATGATAGGTGAATACAGCTTCAGTTAGACAGCTAGAAATGAATTACAATGAAATATGTAGAATTTTCGCCAGAATATTCCATGCAGGAATGGAATAGACTGCGAGTGTCCTTCACGACAGCAGAACGAAAGCTGTGCCAACAACAGGGCAGAGCTCAGAGAAGGAGAGTCACACTCGAAATAGGCTTGCCAACTTGTTGAGTGGGAGCAGTAAAATATATCTGCGATAAGCTTTTGTCAATGCATACGAAGAACGTATAGTGTGGGTTTAAGCACCTCAGGGTTCGAGAGTCTTTGAGCTACTCTTGATTGCATGCTTGAATAAATGCGGATGGGATAATAGCTGACTAGGAATGGGATAACAATAGGAGTTTATTCAAAATGTCATCATGTCTGCATCGATTTTAGTATACCTGAGAGGAGAGTAGAAGATTTTTCAGGGAAAAGAAATCTTTTTAGGAGAACGTTTGAGAGGGCTTAAGCAGTAGGATTGCGAATAATATCGGTGAAAATGCAACTTCAGCGAAACTTGCACAAGATACCTAACGGCTCCGAACCCATCATTGTCTCTATAGTCCTGTGTTCTTCTCGCTGCTAACCCCATTTTAGGCATGTTTTTCGAATATCGATTCACTAGGTTCCACTCTGTGAGCCGAGTATTTCGCTGCCGCGCTCTAATCCAGCTGTCAACGTTTTCGGTGTGACCGCAAACAATGTTTCTGAATGCACGCCTATTGGTCAGCTGAAGCCTGTTGCTGGTGTTTTGAGTTTGTTTATTCTTCATAGGAGTTGGATGGTGAACTGCTATCATACAAAAGGTTAGTTTGCTTTATCTATCACCTTGTCGGACTTTGTTTCTCCCCTGTAGAAGCTTCTGCCGAGTAGCACTGATCGAATTTGTCCCTTTATGTAATATTTGTTTTTCCAATCACCTCTACTGTTTACTACCATTCACGGAAAGCGTTGTGGGTGATCATTGAGGGGGAGGGGGGTAGGAAACATGCAGCAGCGCGGCTCAATAGTGCCAAAAGAAGGTATGTGCCTAATCGCCTAATCACAGGTTACTTCGGTTACCGCTTACCCACTCCTTTTTGAGCTGAGATTTGGTGCTATCGCGCTTGAGAGGTCGCGCTGCCGCGTGCTTCCCACCTCTCCCTTCCCCAATCCACTTAACATTGAATTGTGGCTGAGCTAGTACATGTTTTATGCTCAAAAGAACAAATTATGATATGCAAGTAACTTGATCCTAGGAGTCCCTTTTGCTTGACATACTCATATACATTCAAAAATCTCATTCTTCCACCTTAGCATCCCGGCTCATCTTCAGGCGAAGCGGGACTTTTCGTAGCAGCTAGCACGAGCCTCACCAAAACAATGGACATTTTCAAGAAAAGAAATAAGTGTCTTTTCCGCACAAGCGAACTGGTTCACCTACATCGGAGCTTCTTTTTTTCGAACAATTTCTATTACAATAGTCGGGACGAGCTACTGCACCCTCTCCCCTCTCCTCATCTAAGCGAGCACCTATGTCAGGTCCACTGGGGGAAATGGACACGGTTAATGCTGAGGCGTCTACAACGACAGATCTTGAAGTCGTGGGATGGATGAGGTCTTTTTTATATTTATAAGTGATTTTCTGGATATGCATTCTGAGATAGTCGGTGCAGTATGCCTCGGTGGAAGGGCGGCTGTATGTCTTTCTGTAACAATAGCGGCTTTTAGCCTAACGACGGCCAGAGAGTACCGCTAGGTAGGACCGTTGCATTCTGAATTTTTCCCAAATATGTCCCCTACGCTTAGGTTATTCCCAGGAAGTGTAAGTTGGTGTAAAGTAGCGCAACACGCGGACTGGCTATCGTCTAAACCAGGTTCCTGCTTAGGTAGTCAAGCGTCTCGGTTAGGCGCGCGCAGTCTATGTTCAGGTTTTTTGGGTCTATTCCAGTTAGGGGGGGGGCGGGGGGGGGGGGGGGCAAAAAAAAAAAAAAAAAATCCCCAATGATGCAGTTTCTCGGGCGAGCTAATGTAAACTCGAACATTCCAGCTTCTCACGCATGTCAAGTGACTGCCCTCACCCCCACCCCCCTAGGCTGGCTACACTCCCCCTGGCTCAGAGTTACCGTAGCTTTTTGGGAGTCACCGCACCATGATGCCCCCCCTAACTGGAATAGACCCTTTTTTTTTTTCGAATCAAGTATGTCGCACTTCACTTAAAGCACCGTTGAAACAGATACAGAAAAACAACCAATACGTTGTGATTGATGCTGACCTCGACAGGAGCGCTCACCCTGATTGAGACCTTCTCTAGCGTTCGGAACTTCTGGTATGGGCTGGAATACCTTCGTAGAGATGCTTTCGATTGTGTGTGGACAGGGGAAATTTACTTGGAAAAGGTCTTTATAATGAACCGCATGGCGATAAATTCGCAGTCTACTCGTCTCTGTTCAATGTGTTTCATGCATACACTCGCCTCTAATTCATACTCGTTCTCTGAAACGCTTTCTTGTTTCGATACCGTCATATGTCAGCATAACCGCTAAAAATCGATACCTAAATGGCCAGACGCAGGTCCGTTACTCATCTGTTTTATGGCGAGTGAACGTTCTTCTATCCGCATCCATCTATCACTCCAGCAGAAGACGATTATAATCATGCCCAGATTAATGGAGAGTAAACAAAAAAAATCCGGAACAGAACTTCAGTTTCTTTCTGCAGGAAAGCGTCGTCGTTCTGGGCTGCAAGACGGACCGCAGAACAAAAAGTCTCGATATGAAGACATTGAGCCGTGCAGTACGAATTCGGTTTCTGAAGTTGAAAACAAGACTGGCCATAAAAGGAGACGACAGAGAAAGCGCACAAAGAGGTTGCGGGACTTGATCAAAAGCAAGGTATTGTCGGATTGGTTTTCATTTCTACAGTTTTTTTTTACAAGTGTTGGCAAACTTCCTTTTGGAATTGTTGATTTTCGTGCTCTTTTCAATAGATTTGGTACTTGTAGATAGAGGTGGCTCTCCGAAAATCCACTGGACCATTAACGCGTCTTTTTACGTCTGTCGACGATGCCGGAACTCCACGTTGGTTCTTTTCTTCTCTTGAAGTTGAAGTTCTCTGATTAAGGTGCATTTCAGAAGCTCCTTATGTTGAAGTCATTAAGTTAATCGGTCTCAGTCAAGAGGATTGGCTCAAGGTAATTCCAGTGCTTGAAACTTCAATTTTTTTGTCTTAAGTCTCGTATCTCAGGCGGCATCGTTGTCTCCGAAAGCAGTTGAGAGCATTTCCAACATCACGGACATGTTTCGCATTGAACGCAGTCCTGAGAACAAACTCATGCTCAAGTATCGTGCGACGGAATGGAGGATTGAGGACTGCACTGTTTACCTGGTCAGCGGTTCTTATAAAATCTAGTGACGTCGTAAGTTTATTATCTATAATGTCTCCTTTTTAGGATAATCTCCCGTTAGGGTGCACAGCAGAAAAGATCGGCCGTTTCGCACGAAAATTCGGAACAGTTGTAGAGGTCTGAAGAATTCTATCCTAGTAAAGGCTCGTTCTGATTTATCTTTCTCTTCAGGTTCGAGTACCGAGGTCATCATCCAGACCAGTTTCATCTAGCTACGGAACCATAGAAGTCGGAAAGCATTCACGTTCCTTTGCGTTTCTGCAATTCACTGAACCTGAGGCTTGCAAAAGCATGTGTGAGGTAAGTTTCTTCTATTGGAGAAATCTATCCGGCTTAATACCGGAGCACCTCTTTATCCTCACTTTTGTTCATATGAGTCCCTCGTTTTC